CAGTTACTTCTTATAATGGTCATGTTTTTATATCATGAATATAATTTGATTCCGTATACTTTGAGTATTGAACTTGGACTTAACTATATTATCTGTTAGAGTTTTATGAGTAGTTAATGTATTAGTCATTAGATTTATATGCATAGTTAATGTATTAGTCGTTCGAGTCTTATAAATAGTGAATGTGTTAATCGTTTTTAGTCGTTTTGTTTGTTTTAAGTACAATGGTTATAAATATGAGTCAATAACAACAACAAAGGTAAATCAGATTTTCACAAAGTAAATTTGTTGTCTACAAATTAGCATGAGAGCTAGAGAGCTTGAGTGTATTAGCGTTCTTTGAGAAGTTTAAGTGAGGTGGTCAATTTTACAATTCTGCCTAGGTTGACAAAAGTTGTCAACTATTACATTTGAAGTCAATACATGGAGGCTCTTTTTAGTGTCTAAGATAATTGGGAGGTGGTTGATGATGATTTTGTAAAACCAAAAAGCATTGTTGGTTTCACCAATGCCTAAAATAATGCGTTGAAAGTAATGTACATGAAGCACAAGGCGACCTTATACATATTGTATTGACTTGTTGATGAGTACAACTTCAAAATAAGCGTAGGACATTCTGGAGAAAGTGTACAAGGGAGATAAAAGTGATGCAGGTCTGGCTTCAAACACTTAACAACGGGTTGAAGTGCATAATGATGAAGGGGACCGGAGGAGTGTCCAAGTACATAACTTGAGTGGAAACCAACTTATTAGAGAAACATTGCCCGCTACTCGAGTTGTCGACAAAATCTTAAGATAGTTAATCGGTGACTTTGATAATTTGTATATGTGATTGAGGAGTTTAAGAATATGTTAACGCTCTCAGTTAAAGAGTTTGTTGGGTCTTTTATGGTGCACGAACACCAAAAGAAGAAGAAAATGAGATCCTTTAAAAAAAACACCTTAAACAAAAGCAACATAAGGTGTTCTAGCTATACCCTGAACATTTGATGCAAAGGAAGAGGTCAAGAACGTAGAGGACATGGTCATAGTGGTAGAGGTCATGGAGGATAGGAAGAAGACAAAGAACAAACTGACTAACAAAATTAGCTCAGACAAGGATAAGGTCAGTAGAGAATAGATCAATCAAAGCAACTCAAATATTAACTGCTTTAAATGTAGCAAGTATGTCACTATGCAAAGCATTGTAACCTGAATATGAGTTACAACTATTGTAAGGGCAAACATTTTGCTAAAAAAAATTTAGAACAGAAAGAATAAACATTCAACTATCTAAAAGAGCATGTTGAAGAGAAAGAGGTAGTGTTGTTGATGATAAGAAGGTCAAAAATTGGTCCAAGCTTAAGGAGCGTTCATACTGATGTGATTGAGCACAATAATAAATGTACATGGTTCAATCTCTCAAAAGGAGGTTGACCTATTGATAAAAACCTACTTAATATCAAGTTAACTAGCAGAAAATAAGTCGACCATGAAAGTGAAGTTGGTCATGAAAATTATAATTCGACTATTCATGAAAAAAATAAGCATATTAGAGAAGAGTTATTGTACATGATGTTGGGATGAAGAATATAATAGTCGAAATGAAAATAAAAGAAACATTTAAGTTTACAAGAAAGTTTTATTGAGTTTAGAATAAACTTAAATGCAATTTTATAGTCTTCGAAACAAGGAAAAAATATAAATGAATTAGTTTTAAGTTAATAAATAGTTAAATAAACTAATTGAACTATAAAGTAGTACAGTTGAATTTGTAATTGTAAACAGTTCAATTTTTTTTGTTATGTATTACACTTGATTGTTTATTGCTTACCTCTGACTTCAACCATAATGTTTTTACAAATTTATTTATCTCTTACAAATTTTTATAAATAATGATTTAGTTTTGCTTCTATCTTTGTATAGGTCCCTTTATTATTATTATTATTATTATTATTATTAATATTAAAAGAATATATACATATAAAAAAATATTCTTTACATATAAATATAGATATTATTATTAATATTATTATTATTATTGTTATATGTGTGTGTACGTATGGGTATGATCGTGTGAAGGTGTTTGAGGATATGTGCTTGTGTGATTGTGTAAGTGGATGCATGTGAAAGTGTGTGGATGCGTATGGACATGGGCGTGGATGTACCCGTGTGTGTGTGTGGCAGACTTTGATCGGAAAGGGTTGATGGACGACTAAACATATACCAACTTCCAAAAACTTGTTCAGTCAATGATTTTTCTTTTTAGTGGCCTTCACGTAGCAAGTACATTGCATCAGACCCACTGGCCTAAACATTCTTTCATGTGCTTTAGTGGTTGAGTTCAAATATTTTTCAAAGTATATTTTCGGGTAAAAAAAATCCAAAGTATTTGTGTAATAAGGTGATTGATTACTACAGTGCTGTGATGCTCCACTATAGATGTAGGAGTAGGATTTTGGTTGAGATTGGTTACTATTATTTATTTATATTATTAATAATATACATTATAATATCTTTCTTGGATAAATTTATACATACACTTATTTTTACATTGATTGGAACACCTTAGTAGGAAACCTTAATAGGAAACATTTGATAGGATAAGTTAAGACTGCTTTCACTTCAACTAATTTCCTTTAGCTTTAGCATTGTGCATGAGGAGCATATGTTTTGGATAGACAGAAGATGATGAAATCGGTTTCACTCCAATTTAAAATATCATAGAATCGATTCCTGCAATTGAATTTATATACAAGGGAAAGTGGGAGAATCGATTCTAGTTAGGGTTTATATATATATAATATTATTATTAAATAATAATAATTAATAATAGTTATTATTATTATAAAAGTAAAAAAAATAATTTCACATTTTAATTTAATAAAATATTTATTTTATTTTATTATATCCATTAAATCTTTCACAAAATTTTATAAAGTTCATTCCTAAATCGATTCACTTTCAGTATCAACAAATCCCTTAAAAGAAATATAAAAACTTTATTATAGAATCTCTTCAAATTTATTTATTCAGTTCTCTTTAAATTTATATTCAGAAATAAAAATATCCTAATAATTATAAATATTGAAATTATACTGCTTATTTTGGTGAGAAATAAAGATATATCTCAACGTTTATGTTTTTTTGGCATTTCCATTGGAATGCACTACAGATTTTTAACTTTATCAATAATATTGTTTTGTACTTTTCACGTACATACTTATATATTAATTAAGGTTATATTGATGAACTTTATTATATATATATATATATATATATATATATATATAATATTTATTAAATATATTATTTTTATAAAAGTAATTAAAAATTAGTGATCAATTTAGTAACAATTATAATCATCAACTATTTAATTAATGGGTTAAATATGTTTTTAGTTCCTAAACTATTGGCCGTTTCTGGTTTTCGTCCCTCTTTCAAAATAAGATACAATTTGGTCCTCATTCTTTTCAAAATTTTGGTTTTAGTCCTCGAAAACTAACACCGTTAAAAATGTGGTAGTTTTCGAGGTTAGTTTTCAAGGACTAAAACCAAAGTTTCGAGGACTAAAACTAGAATTTCGAAAAGAATGAGGGCCAAATTGTACCTTATTTTGAAAGAGGGACGAAAACTAGAAACGACCAATAATTTAGGGACTAAAAACATATTTAACCCTTAATTAATCACCGTAGAAAACCGATTATCTATCTTAGCAATACTAGTTATTGGTTTCAATTATTAAACTTAGTTTGTAAACCATTGAATTTAGCTAACACTATATTTTATGAATACCGTGCATCAATAAGTATGGAAATGGTAAAAAAGACAGGTTAGTTATTATATCGGTTGATACTTTTATTAGTGATCATTTTAGTCATATAATAATTTGGTCTATTTCATGATTTCTCCTTATTATTGAAAGAAAAAATGTTAAGTGAGACGCAAGAAGAATTGGATGTTTGAGTTTTGGAAAAGATAATTTCTTTTGTTGGTTAAGAACATGAAAATGAAATTGAAGAAATGAAATACTAATCAACGAGAAAAAAAGTCTAATTTAAAAATAAATATTGAAAGTTTTCTGAAAGGGGATTTCAAAATAAATTATTTAATAGAAAGAATAACTTCTGAATATTATATATATATAATCTAAAATGCCATAGCTATCATCATATCATTAATGTGTTTAGATTTTACATAAAGCAAGGATAGACTCATATGTATCAGGTTGTCATTTTAGTAACATTTAAAACGAAAGATAAGAAGATCACATAATTATTTAAACTATTTGATTAAAGAGACTCTAACATCACGCCAACAAACCACATAATTTATATATTACAAAAAAAGGATAACTTTCATTAAATCGTTGGGAAAATTATTCATGCTAATTTCTAAACAAAATACCTTTTTCTATTTCAGAACTTATATAATTAATAGGTGTTTATCCCCTTTTTGCTAATGAAGAGTTTAATACCATTGCAAGTGGACCAAAATGTTTATTTAATTTTTCATTTCTCAAATAAATCGTTAAATAAGAAGAAATATTGCAAATGACAGCTGCTATTGTGATAAACGGCTAACTAATTCTTGGAAGACAATCGATATTGTATTTTCTGCCACACATCTAACACAATAATAAGCTTAATACTTGAATTAACTTTTACCTTGAGGCAAAACATTTTTTTAGCTTTTCACCGAGCCTAAGAGCACAAATTGAAAATCATATAAACTCTTTTTGATCCTCTCAAGGTAGTGTAAAAGGAAATGTCTGGTAGAATAATTGAACGAGTAATAAAGATGCTGCAAATTAATATTTTATTCAATTAGCTTCAAGGTTTTCTTACCATTTTTAATACCATACATTCTAAGTTATACTAAGTTAACTAAATTACTCAGCTGACATAATAAAAAAAGGCAAAAAAATGCATAGTTTCTGCAGTTTTCCAAATTATAAATTTTGTCTGAGCCATTCTGTTGACTATAGTTTCATACCACTTCTGTTTTCCTTGGTGGAGTTTATGTCTTCTTGCTATTTCCCCTTCACTTGCCAAAAAAAGATGGAGTTCAACACCCCAATCTATAAGAAATCTGAGATAAGGTGGAGCTCAGATGATCAAGGTGGCCCTGGACAAGTGAAATCTTTTTCTTGTTCCTTCTGCAAGAGAGGATTCTCTAATGCACAAGCCCTAGGTGGCCACATGAATATCCACAGAAGAGATAGGGCAAAGCTCAAGCAATCTTCTGAAGAAAGCTTGCTTTCGTTGGACATCTCAATCAAGACCTCAAGTGATCACAGAAATGACCCTTCTGATTTGGAAGAGAAAATTTTCTTTCGGTTGGGTTCTGGAGAAGATCAGAAGCATGCTAGAAATCGAAAAATGCCATTCAATTTCCCTCACAAAAGTGATCATGATTATGCATCAGAAAGGGCCATGTTCATTGGTTCAGCAGAAATTCCTCATCATCTTCCTTCTTTTGTTTTGGGGCAGCGAATTGAAGAGAAGACAGCTGATTTAGACCTTGAACTTAGGTTAGGCCTGCATCCCCAGGAGACAGCAACATTGAACACTAGATCGTTCTTTTGAAGTAGCGTTTCAAGTGTGGAAGATCAGTGAAAAGTTGCTTTTATCTCATACCTAGCTCTTCTTCCCACTTAAAGGTAATTAATTACGTTTAAGAATTTAATTTTGATACAGTATGGATATTGTTTTCACTCACAGTACTGCATCAAAATTAAATTCTCTCTCTCTCTATATATATATATATGTCTTGCTAGTTCAATAATGGAACGCTATCATGTGAAGTATATGTTAATATTGCTTGTATTATTCTTCTGCTGTTATGTTGCAGATGGGTTTGTGATTTTCGTTTTGTCTTTCTTTTTTATTCTTTTGGTATTATTATGTTAAATCCACAGTGTACACTGTTTCTGTAATCATACAACTGTTATTTGAAGTTGTTGCTTCGGGTATTATATATAAGAGAAGTTCTATGTTGTTCCCAAAATATGATTACATAGCTGGTTTGATTTTATATTGCTTGTTCCAGCTTAAAATTCCTGTATATGAATCATAACATTTAGTAACATTTGATATACAAAAACGACATCGGATCAACACGTAATTATTTGAAGGAACAAGAAAAACAACAGAACTCCATATATCCAAGCAATTTGTGAAAACAGCATAAGATTCACCTTGTCCTTTGTCCTTCATAAGTGCAAACATGTTAACAGTCCATAATCTCATTATAACTTCATTTTGTTAAAATGTAAACCTAAACTACGTAACTGCTGTAACTGTCAAAATGACAGTTATACTACTCTGTATATATACTGGTTTTTACGTTAATGAGAAATAATCGTTTCTCCATTCTCTGTTTTGCACCTCCACTGATATTAGCTTTTTCTCTCAAGATATTACTCTACACCAACTCTATCAGTGGTATCAGAGCTACAGGTTGTTGAACCTGGTGAAAGCGTCGAACAGACAAAAAGAGCTGTTTGGTGAAGAAGGACTCACGTTGAAAGGTGATGGCAGGAATGATCCAGAGCAGTTTGCCGGTATTCGACGGGAAGAATTATGATGATTGGTGTGTAAAGATGGATGCTATCTTGGGATTTCAAGAAGTTGATGAAATTGTCAAGAAAGGGTTTAAAGAAACTACAAAAGGTGACACGGAAGAAGTCAAGAAGGCTTACAAAGAAAACAAGAGACTGGATTGTAAGGCACGGATGCTTCTACACCAGTGTATTTCTGCAACGATATTTCAAAAGGTGTCTAAAGCAGTAACAGCCAAAGAAGCCTGGGACATATTACAAGATGGATATGGAAACTCAGGGAGAGTAAAGAAGGTAAAACTTCAATCACTGCAGAGACAATATGAACTCTTGAGTATGGGAGAACAAGAAACCATCGAAGATTATATCAGCAGAATACAGGTAGTAGTTAATGCAATGAGAGCGTGTGATAAAGTAGTAAAAGATAAGAAGATAGTTGAAAAGATATTGAGAACGTTAACGCCTCAGTACGATCATATTGTCGTAGCCATCGAAGAAAGCAAAGATCTGGAGCAAATGAAAGTAGAAGAGCTCCAAAACTCTCTTGAAGCACACGAACAACGATTGATAGAAAGAAGAACATCAGAACAGAATGCAACGCAAAACACAAATCAAGCGCTTCAAGCTAGAAGTAATCAAAATTACAAGAACCGTGGAACTGGCAGAGGAAGAGGAAGATCACGTGGTGGACGTGGAGGCCGAAATGGAGGAAGATTCATGAATACCTTTGAGCAATCCAAAGATGATAACAGCAATGAATACAGAGATGGAAATAAAGCTAGAGGAAGGTTCAGAGGAAGAGGAGGCAGAAAAGGTGTTGACAAACGAAATGTGCAATGCTTTACGTGCAGTAAATATGGTCATTACTCATCTGAGTGTTGGCACAATGAAAACAACAAGAAAGAAAAGAGCAATGAAGCAAATCTTGTAAAAGAAGAAGAACTGGAAACAGACTCAGATCACGTTTTGTTGATGAGTATTGGTGCACATGATAGAAAATATGAGATGTGGAAAACAGACAAAAGTGCAAAGGAGACCGACCAAACAGAGTACGTGTCACTCACTGGGAAAACAAACCATGCAGAGGAAGAAACCTTGTGGTATTTGGATACGGGCTGCTCCAATCACATGACAGGTAATAGAAAATGGTTACTTGATCTGGACACAAGTGTCAAGAGCACAGTAAGATTTGCAGATAATAGCACAATTAAAGCTGAAGGCACAGGTAAAGTGTTAATCACTCGCAAAGATGGAAGATCTGTATTCATGCACAACGTTCTATATGTACCAGCGATGAAGAGCAATCTCCTCAGTCTCGGCCAACTTCTTGAAAAGGGTTATACCATGAAAATGCAACAGAAACACATTGAGGTATTCGATGAAAGACAGAGGATGGTTCTCAAGGCTCCCCTTGCGCGAAATCGAACATTCAGAGTAAATCTGAATGCAACAGAGATACAATGTTTGACTGCAACAAGTGACAAGAAAGAAAATGAATGGTTGTGGCACTTTCGATATGGGCATCTCAATTTTAGAAGTCTATGTCAACTGAGAGATAAAGATCTTGTGAGAGGCATCCCTACATTTGGTATACCAAACAAAGTATGTGAAGGTTGTGTTACTGGAAAACAAATAAGAAAATCGTTCAAGAGTTACGCACCCAAGAGAGCAAAACAGCTGTTGAGTGTGGTACATGCAGATGTATGTGGCCCTTTTGACGTACCATCTCTAGGAGGTAACAAGTATTTCTTACTCTTTGTAGACGAATTTTCCAGAAAAATTTGGATATACTTGCTAAGAGAAAAGAAAGAAACTTACACACACTTTGTTAAATTTTGTTCCATGGCTGAGAGACAATCGGGTCAGCAAGTTAGAATCCTCAGAACTGATGGTGGAGGCGAGTTCAACTCTGGAGAAATGAACAAGTTTTGCAATGACAAAGGAATTGTACATGAGGTTACAGCACCTTACACACCTCAGCACAACGGATTAGCAGAAAGAAGAAACCGCATGCTCTTGGACATGACCAGATGTATGATCAAAGGGAAAAATCTACCAAACTACCTATGGGGAGAAGCTGTCTCGACTGCTACCTACCTGCTGAATAGGAGTCCCACCAAGGCACTACCAACATGCACACCAGAAGAGGCCTGGTCAGGGAGGAAACCTGATGTGAAACACCTGAAAATTTTTGGTTCAGTTTGCTATAAACACATCCCAGAAGAGAAAAGAAAGAAGCTGGACGACAGAAGTGAAGCCTTTATCCTCGTTGGATATCATCCAACTGGAGCATACAGGTTATATGATCCAGTAAAGAAACAAATCGCAATTAGCAGGGATGTGATAGTAGATGAGTTAGCTGTGCCAAGATGGTATGATGCAAGGAATAATCATATGGAACAATCTAGTGCTGAGATGACTACCTGGCTCGAGGAAGATAGAACCAAGGAGATCAAACAGCCAGATACTAATGAAACTGCTGAGATCAGAAGATCACAGAGAACGCGATTCCCCTCCACAAGACTCGCAGATCATGAACTGTTTAATGACAGTGATGTTACAGATACAGGTGATTTAGTCCATTGTTCTTTATTGGCAGGTGCAGAAACACTCACATGGGAACAAGCCATTGAGATTAAACAATGGAGGGAAGCTATGTTGGAAGAATTATCAGCTATTGAGAAAAACAGAACGTGGGAGTTGGTTGAATTGCCTGAACACAAGAGAGCCATAGAGGTAAAATGGGTGTTTAAAACTAAATACAAACCGGATGGAAGTATTGCAAAGTTAAAAGCTAGGTTGGTTGCAAAAGGTTTCCTGCAGAAACCTGGGATAGATTTCACTGATGTCTATGCCCCTGTTGCAAGATTAGAAACTGTGAGGCTCATTGTTGCAATAGCCAACTTCAATGGTTGGACCATTCACCAAATGGATGTCAAATCTGCTTTCCTGAATGGCCCTCTCGAAGAAGAAGTGTACGTAAATCAACCACCTGGCTTTGTCAAAAGGGAACAAGAGCTGAAAGTGTACAGACTGAACAAAGCACTATATGGTCTTCGCCAAGCACCACGAGCTTGGAACAAACACATTGATGCGCTGCTTATCAGGTATGGCTTTAAAAAATGTACTGTTGAATATGGAATTTACATAAAATTTGTTGAGCAGCTAGGTACCCTCGTAGTGTGCTTGTACGTGGACGACTTGTTGGTTACAGGAAACTCCACACAGGAGATTGAAGAATTCAAAGCAAAAATGAAGACTGAATTCGAAATGACAGATCTTGGCACCTTAGGCTACTTCCTCGGACTGGAATTCATGCAAACAAGAGATGGAATGTTCATGCATCAACAGAAGTACATTTTAGAGACCCTGGAAAGATTTAACTTGAAGAACTGTAACTGCACATCCATCCCTGTCATGGTAAATTTGAAACTCTCTGGTCAACAAGAAGAAGCCAAAGTTGATGCAACATTGTTCAAGCAAATAGTAGGAACCCTCCGGTACATATGCAACAGCAGACCAGATATCAGTTTCGGAGTCGGACTCCTCAGCAGATACATGCACGATCCTAGACACTCTCATCTCACGGCTGCCAAGCACATTCTACGTTATTTGAAAGGAACAACAGATTATGGTCTCTATTTTTCCAGGAAAGTTGACTGCACGAATGATATTTTAGAAGCATGGTGTGATGCAGACTGGAGTGGCGATCAAGTGGATAGAAAGAGCACTTTTGGGTATGTGTTTAAACTAATGGGAGCTTCCATATCATGGTGTTCAAAGAAACAGAACGTTGTAGCGCTATCATCCTGTGAAGCAGAATACATATCTGCGGCTGAAACTGCTTGCCAGTGTGCATGGTTGGAAGCCATTCTACAAGAGTTAAGAATTGAGCACCGCAAACCAACACGCTTAATGATAGACAACAAATCTGCTATCAACTTATCTAAGAATCCAATCTCACACGGTAGAAGCAAGCACATAGAGACCAAGTTTCATTATCTCAGAGATCAAGTCAGTAAAGGA